GATCCACGATTTGGACATGAGGGAAATTTGCCATTAACTTCATCCTGACCCTCATAAGACCAGTGAAGCTGATATCTTCTATCAAGATGGGGATCGCGGCTGTCGCCAAACCCTTGCCAACCCTAACGGACAGCACTATCTTGGGGTTAACCTTCTGTGCTGCTTGTCGAGGAGTCAGATCAGAGATATCGTTGGGGGTAAACGAGATGCCCCAGTCCATCATGACGATGTCGTCCTCTGTGTTCGGAAACGTCCTGACTTTGTCAATGCGCGGTGCCTTCGTGCCAAGGGTGAATGTAGTGAGGCGTAGCGAATCCAAGAATGCGGGGGTGCTGGTGCTGAGAATTTGGTCAACGGAGGCGACAACTGTGGCCGATAGCACGGGTTCGTAAATGAGCCAAAACCGGTCGAGAAAGTTGTTCAACCAGTCAGCGCTTTCGTGTTCGGAGGCCAAACGGGTCTTGACGAGCTCTCGCTGAATGTCGTCACGCGCACGACGTCGTACGCGAGACATGGAGGTGACATAGTACGTGTTGCAAGTCGCCAAAATGATAAATAGCCATCCCCACCCAAGGCCGAAGCGCGTGATGAAGTGCGATGCAAAGACAGCCTGCCCAATAGTTCTAGATGATTAAAGAGTATGCAACAGGGGACGTACAAAGAAGATGAGTGCAGCGTTGTGGTACCAGTCACCATAGAATTGCTCGTTCAGATAGAGCTGAAGGACAGACTTGTCTTTTTCCTCTCCTTCTTCGAGGGGAGGGGCATCAATGTTTGCGACGGCGCGCCATCCAACTTTGTACCAGTCCGGAATAGCTGGTGTAGCACCAGATGGAAGAGCACCAGGTGGCGATGGAGAAGATGGGGCGTCAGGAGGGGAAGTGGGACTCGTCTCTTGTTCTTCCTTTGCTACCTTGTCGGCATCTTCCACTGTGATTGTTGGAACGACACCTATGCTTCCGGTATCAATTGGAACCTCTGGACACAATGAGACTCGTATGGTGTCATTATGACGATGTACAACGACGTACCCTTCACTCCACCGTCTGCGACAGAGGGGTGGTTAAGCTTCTCAGCGCCCTTACTGACAGCTGCAGCCTTGTCCTGGGGTGAAGCATCTGGATTGAAGGAATGGACGGGAGCACCATTTGCGGCGTCGTTGGCGAACAGGTTGTTGAGGTGTGCATGTGCCTGTTCTTCCGCATTTTGGTAATTTACAGCCTCCTCGTGAGGGGCGTTCGTCGACATTGAGAGCAACGAAGAGGAGGAAGGAAAGTCAACAAGGAAAGGAAAGGTTAGGAAGTTAGTGTGGATGAGGCTAGACTAAAGTAGTAGGATAAAATTGAGACAGGCGGAATGGTTAGTGCGATGAACGTGTGGAAAGGTTGGGGGGGTGGAGAAGACTGGCATTACGGTATCCCTGATGTCACGGTCACTGAATAAGGAAATATTCCTTTCAACTTTGGCCTCGAATCTCAGCACGTGTCCGGCATCATTCCAAATACAGTCCGCAGTCCGGCCATCGAACTATTAGAAGCAATGTCCGAACACCCCACCTCGATACCGTTATTCGTTTGCCTCATGTTCGCTACCTTCAGCTGACACCCTTCATCATGCCACCACCACTGGCAGCCCATCAACCCAATGAATTGAGCTTTCCTTAGATCGCTCAGAAAACCCACGATTATTTAGAACAAACTTACCTAAATGGAGATCCAGTCCTGGTGTATCTATCTATCTTATTGAACTGCTCATCAGGCAGGTAGAGATTGTGCGATGTCAACACACTCGTAAACCGAAAGCGCTGGTGAGACCATCTGTCATACACCGAATCAGGCAGAACCTGCAATGCCACAAAATTCTGTACAATAACCCCCATCTTGTTTCTAGCTTGCCCTCCGGTACGAAGGCAAGCGAAAGCCGCCTTCAACTCCGTGCTGCTCGTAAGAAGGAGTTCCAACTTCCGCGGATTAAATTTCAAAAGCCAATATCCTACAAGGAGTGAGGTATTCTGTGTTCGATGCTATAGAAGATTCAGACGCTGAGAAGGGGGTTGCGTAAACGAAGCATTGAAGAAGAAGTACTCGCGAATCTAGCGCATTACAGCTCCGCCCACCCGCCGTCGACATCCTCCCCACCACCAACAGTGGCCAACAAGAAAACCACGATGCTCGCCGCAAGACGCATCCCAAGTCCTCTATACAACTGTCCAATGCCGGTGTGCCTCAGCCAGCTCTTTCCACCCTCCTCCTTCCCCTCGGATACCTCCGCATCCTGATCTCCGTCACGCCTCTCCTTCTCAACTACCTTCTTTCTCCGTGGCCGCCTGATTGGCAAATCCGATCTCTCTTCTGTCAATATATGCCACAGCGCATCCACTACACCATTGTACGGCACAGGCCGCGTCTCGACGCACGTACGTAGTGGCTTCGCCGTGCCACGTGTCTGAACTTGCAGCCTTCGGCGAACTGTCTCGATTGGTAGGGTAACCAACAGACCGGCACAGCCCGCTAATACCTCAGCGAACGCCCACGCAACGGGATGTGTATCGGCTGCAACGTGTGGTCCAAGGCCTAAGCGAGGGGCAATCACGGCGGGCAACGTGACGTGCACCAGTGAACGGAGCCCAGTCTCGAGGACGGTCGGAATCAGGAGATGGGGGTGAAGGTAGACACCCCTAAGGCCGCCTTCATTGGCTAGGATATCAGAAAGCGCGTTAATCGGCCCTGTATATGCTTTATAACGCTGCGTCGACGATTGAGCAATGAGTCGCGTGCGAACGAGATCAAGTGGCGATAACAAGAAGGCAGCGATGACATGCGAAGCCACTGGTAGGAGCAGTGGTGGTCTGTAGAAACCACCTTGGGACGAGGCGAATAAGGAATGTAGAACACTGTCGATGAGTGGTTGTACGTTCGTGTAAACCACGTCGTGAATGCACGACGTCAACAGACCTGGGGGAGCAGTCTCAGTGGATGTTTATCCTTGTCGTATCACCCTTACCTTTCCATAGCGACAGCCATCCTTCATTGCGGAAACTAGCCACCCGTTTCACCATACTCCATGAGCTGTCCGCGCTACCGACTGGAATAATGTACTCTGGGCGCGTCCCATCTTCCAAAATAGACGTCCTGATCACATACCCCTTGTCATCCACGAGTTTTGGAGCTGGATACTTGGTCGGACCAGCGCCAGGGTCGACAAAGTAAGACTCTTCCTCGTTCGTTGTTTCACTGAGCTGGAGGGCGCGCCAAACGGTTAAATTGGCAGAGATGGTAACCACCCATATCGACCCACCGTTTCTACCTCTTCTTCCACTTCCTGCTCGGGTTCTTGCGTGGGCACATCTCTGGGGACCCATTGGATCTGAAGAAGTAACTTTCCGACTTCCAAGGGCATCGCCATTGCGGTACTGCTGTACTGCAGTAAAGCCGAAGCTACGAGAGAGCGGAAGAGCAAGGGAACATCGACCGAGGAAGGCTGGCCAACGTTCAAGGAAGGAGAGAGATCAAAGATAGAGTTCGGGGCAGGGCGGGTGGTCCATTGATATGAGGTGCCCGAAGCATTAGAAATAGATGGACCAGGAGCATTTGAATTCGGTAAAGGCGGAGGAACAAACGTCCATTCAGTAGACGAAGGGCTGTACAGATCACGGAGGGACGGATTAGACGCCATCACATAGAGGGAACCGATACGAAAGCGCTATTAAAGAGCTCTCAGACACCCGAGTTCGTTGTCTGGAAGGGCGCCGACGTAGTTCTGAACACTGATGGCAAGTCGTGATGGAAGTTTTGTCTTTGGACGTTGAGACGACTGACGCACTTTACAGCAGGGCGACCCACGTGACTACTGGCAACTAGTTCACCTCCTTAAATTTCACCCCAATTTCACCCGAGGTTCAAGCAGGTTGCGGAATCCTGATACTTACGTTCTCTCTTCAAGCTTTAAGCTGCATGTTACATGGATTCTATAGGCTAAGACTATAGCTAGATGTACCAGACTTTCTGCACACGCTCCCCTCTAAGTGATGATATATCTATGATATTTTCTTTCACAACTATGATCACCCGATTCCTTAGCCTAGGGCCCGATCTACTCTTTTGTCGTCCATGTCACGAAGCCCGCCAGCATCAATATTCAACAATTTGTCCTCCCCCCGCGCCCAGGTCTCGTACAAGTTCCAATGCCTTTTCAGCTATCTCTCTATCATCCTGGAAAGTGAGCTTTTTGAGAGCCATCTCAGCCTCAACGAACTCTGAGTGAAAGTCCTCCGAGTCTGTCTGTGTCCCTTGCCTCTTAACCTCACTCGTCGCTATGGTTAAGTACCACCAAATGATCTTTGTCCCCTTCTCGTCCCCAAGACTTCTCACCGTAATAGCAAACGGCTCTGTGGCCCCCTCCACGGTGTGCGGCGCGTCCACCATGTTGACGTGCGGCAGAGGTGCCCTGGTCGTTATTGTGCATGGGAGCAGCTTGCAGTCATAGCCGGTCTCTTCGAAGGTTTCTCGGGTGGCTGCAGCTTCGATCGACTCGCCGCAGTCTTTCCGGCCTTTGGGTAATACATATACTTTTGCCTTTGGAGAATGCAGAATGCATATTTGCCATTCATTTCTCTGTGAGTCCTTGCGGAGGAGGACAGATCCAGCGCAGATGACGAAAGCCTCGCTGAAGTGAATAAATGAGGGATATGGCCGTTTTCGCCCCATCATCGCTTGTGTAGACGTGTCTTCTGTCATGCCGATAGAGGGATATACGGGAATGGTGGGCTGTTAAAAGGAGCCTTGAGCAAGATAAACTTCTAGACGTACGCGAATCTCAGCACTAACATCAGGCTAGAGGGCGATCAACGAGGCAGCGAAGGGACGACGGCGAATATTAAACATACTTCTGTGCACTGATGAATAGTACATGTGGGATATCGATGGGACGTACCATGGTACCACTCGAGCAAAAATCATGCACACGTCTGTCCCTCACGAGGAGCAGATAAAAGGAAAATATGCCCGCTGCAAGGTTCGAACTTGCGACCTCAGGATTACGTAATCGTTTGATTACTCATATTCAAGATATGAGACCTGCGCTCTAACCAACTGAGCCAAGCGGGCAGTGGCAGCGTTAAGTATTTGATGATCTTGAGTATTTCTATTAAACAAGTAGGCTTGATTAAGATGTATGCAGTTGCTATCACTTTGAAGTCTGCCAAATATTATCACCGAAAGAGATTGGTGGACCACGGGGTTTGAAATCGTAGTGAGCCGTGGGAAATTGGTTGCTTGTGATTTGGCAAGTCCATAGACTCGCTGAACTTCGGTGACTGGAAGGCAGAGATCATTCGACGGTCAAAGTAGTCCTCGTTTACTCCGAGTCTGACACGGTCTACCCAGCACCAGTATAGTAATCCAACCAGAGTACGTTGCGGCCTACCAACCCACCACGAGGCTGTCTCTGCCATCCACAGCACTACCCCAACACTCGCTTTCCATGAATGCTCGCAAGAGGAAGGCTTCTGATCATCTCCTTCCTACCACGCAAACGAAACATTCAAGAACTGAAAAACTAAGAACTAAAGATCCGTTTGGAATGATAACTTCTGTCTGCCAAGGGATGCAGGATGGATGGAATTATCTCTGCGGAAAATCCATGCCTTCACCACGTACGTCTTGAGTCTCTTCGTGGTGATGAACTCATGGACTGACGGCGAATTCTAGCACCAATCAACGAGCACGACGCGTCTCAGTTCCTACCGTTACCCCCCAACCGACCAATACATACAGTGCCTGCTCCTCATCCCACCATTCCTCCTCGACTCCCGATACCGAGCGAATTCCATTCACACAAGTCTGAGGCTCGACCACAACACTCTAATCTTTCCTCCTCTTTCCCATCGAATTCAAATTCTATGAAAACTCTGAATAGTTCGGGTACATCTCCACAGTCAGCAACCTCAACTGAGATGACGTCCATCAGTTCTAAGCCAACTTCCCTGCCCCGCCATCACACGATGGATGCAAGTCTTGCGGAGTGCATGCGAAGAAGTCGGACCACAGAGCAGGAGAAGAAGGCGCAATCTCATATGAGGGCCAGGCCTCATATTTATCAGCCCCGCGTATGCATCGCTACCACCGTATGATGACAATCCCAGACTCACCGTTTTCCGTACCGTGTCATGTAGCACAAGGCGAACGTACAGGAGATGCTAAAGAAAGACAGAGAGGATCTGGTGAACGAGCTTTACTTCCTGAGATGCAAAACTGGTACTGCAGATACTTTCTTGAACATCGCAACATATCTGACAATCATGGTGCCTAGGATATGGCTCAGATTTGGACACATTCAAATGTAAGTATCGTTATTTGTCCGAGATCTTCTGTTTCTGACTGCTCTGCCTCAGCTTTTCTTGGTTACCAAGTTCAACTCGAGCATACAGACAAGAAAGATATTCTGTCGTGTGTGTAACATGACTCACCTACTAGATACTGACTTCATACTGATCGATTACCATAGCCTCGCAGTCTCTGACAGACTTGCGCGTTACAGAGCGGACACCAGGTCCACCGCAGAGACACTCGTTCTCAGATGTACGCCGTTTAAGCATCTTCATGATTACGCTTTGCCCACCTAGCCCTCAGGACGTTAGTCTCGATTTCTTGAGGCGCGCAATTAGCAAAGCGAAACAGTCACTTAACAGGTATGTCACGGCAGGTCGAGGACGCAGTGTGCCAGCATTAACCAATGGCCAGTCCGCCACCACCCAAACCTTTCTCGCTCCACAACGACCTTTGCCTACGAGCGCGCCAGAAGGATGAAGCAATAAATCAGCGTCTACGACCTTCTCTCCCCAAGTCATTGCCTGCAGATTTAAACAGACAAGTCGACGCGTTCCTTGCCAAGAAAGGCGTCATCTCCAAGGTCGCGCGAGAACAAGTCTGCGACAAGGACCTCTTGCGTCTGCTGCCAGAGCAATGGCTAAACGACGAAATCATAAACTTTTACGGCGCGATGATTCTTTCGCGCTCTGAGTCATGTAAAGAGAACCCTGGATCAAACGGTGTTGCGCATAAAAGGAAAAAGCCATTGGATGTGCATTACTTCAATACTTTCTTCTGGTCGAAGCTGCAGACGGAGGGTTACGAGCGGGCGAGGCTCGCGAAATGGACAAAGAAGGTGTGTTGTTCCCTTATGGTGTCTCTGCTAGCTCACTGACTCCTCGTAGTTCGACATCTTTTCCAAAGACGTTGTCCTTGTTCCTATCAACCACCACAACTCTCATTGGACTGCAGCGGCGATCAACTTCCGTCGGAAACGAATAGAGTCGTATGACAGTATGAATATTGACCGACGTTCAGTCTTCAAGGTTGGCCCACCTTGCCTTCTGGAACGTTCATGTCTAATCATCATTCCTAGGGTCTCCGTCACTACCTTGAACTAGAACATCAGAATAAAAAGAAGAAACCATTCGACTTTACAGGTTGGGAGGATTATGACCCAGAGGTATGATCCATCTTTGAATCCAGTAAATGTTAGCTCATCCACCATCTCACAGGATACCCCGCAACAAGAAAATGGCTATGATTGTGGTGTATTCACGTGCCAATTCTTGGAGGCGCTATCCCGAGGAGAAGAGGTATTCAATTTTTCTCAGAGAAATATGCCCTATCTCCGAAGGCGGATGATTTGGGAGGTTGGATATGGCAAATTTCTTGATGGGCCATAGTCACGGTACTATTCTGAACGTACCTGCATACACCAATCTACTGAGATATATCTGCGGCAGTCCTATATTGTATGCGCCGTGGGCTATGTAGTTTGGGTGGTGGGTTGTGCCAGTGGTAGCTTGATTAGAAGGGTTGGGTACGAATATAATTGATACGGAGGGCAACTCAGAGTTCATGGTGCAAAAGGTCCTCGTGTCCAAAGTTCATTGACGAGTTCAGCGTCGAAACCACCATACAATAATGAAGAACCAAAAGACGAAAACGAGGAAGATAATGTACCACAACCATCGACAGCCTTGTCGCTCGGCCATGTTGTTCATTCGACGAAATGTCCCTCCGAGAATGCCGGACGTTTCTGCGAATGCGTCGTTCTAGCGTGATACAAGTTTGCTTAGACAGCAAGCCACGAGGGAACTTGGGGTGAAACGCGTACCATCTGACTGAGCTGGATAGTCGACTCTCGGACCTCATTCCCAATACCAATACTTATCTTCACAAAAGGACGGTGCAGTGAGTGCCAAGCATAGACGAGGTCTGAGCGGACGAGACCACGTACATCTTTCAATAGCTTCACTTTAGCACTCAAACCCTCGAGGTGCTCATCATTCTGGCCCTCGAGATCGTCAGCATAGCGATGACCTGAGGATGCGTGAAGTGGAAGTTCGTATGGAGACGAGCGTCCGGAGGCTGGGGGTGTGAAGCCGCCAAGAAGCGCGGAACGGTCACGTAGTGCATTCGGTGCTCGTAATCTGGGAGACATTTCAGACATGAAGAAATCTTACGGGCACATTGTTGCAAAGGGCCTCACCGTTGGGACATTCCGAGGGGATGCCAGACCAGCTATGCTTCTCGGAGGATGGAAGGAGAAAAGATGATAGTGCGGTACGTACCCATAAACGACCATCTGAGCCACGTAAACAGTCCCACTCAACTTGGAACGGACCGGCCAAGACCTCCGAATGCCCCAAGCTTCATTTTTTTTAAGACTCTGAGACCTTTACCATGCTCAGACGTTAGCGCGAATCTTGGCGCCGTCATGTTCAGCCCTCCCTACCATGCGCACGACATTCGTACTGTTTCATTGAAACCGCGACCAGTTTCACTTCGTATTTTCGTTCCTTGCAACTGTTTCAAACTTTCACATTCTCCAGTCAAAGCGCGAGGAACATACAATGATGCGACATTTTTCACGACTAATACTCATCGGACTCGAACCTGTCCTGAAATCAACATGGTGCACACCCCCGGGCCCACTATCATTGGCATAATAAAACCCCGATGCTCCAAGACGCCTAAAAGACTGATTTATACGAATGATAGCCTTGAGCAAACCTTCAAGTGAGGACATTCTTCTCCACAAGTGACTCGGCATTCTCGCAGAGGTGCACCCTCAACGCTTCATTCTTTATCATGTCTTCGATAACCCTTCAAAGGGGTAGACCGGTGGTGTTGGCTTCGTTCCGAAGGATCAGATTGATAAATACCTGCCCTCTTCACAACGATGCCATCAAGTTTATCATACGTGGTCAGTATACCTTTGTTTCGACACTACGATTCAAGTTGATCAGTGCATCTCTAGGTCGTCCAATAATATAGTTATTTATCCAATGTCGACTGTCATGAAGTCAGGGCAAAATGCGTGCAGGTCACCCCACGCACAGTCAGCAAACTCGAGAACGAAGATATGCACCATGAATACGAATAATTTAAACTGGTCGAGTCTTCTTGTTCTGACGAGTCTTTGGATCAGTCAGGGCTGCCCTCCAGGATCGTCGCTATGAGGCAGGCATATCACATATCTCCAGTGCACTGGTCTCCGTGCGCTACCGCCCTCAAGTCGAATGACCTCCAACTTTCAGTATACTGTGATTCATCACGAACGCATTCTTGCCTGTTCGACTGCTTCGCAGGGGCCTGCTAGATGGAACTAGTAACTGACACGCGGCGGGTTGAATTCACCGCAACGCAACTTTGCCCGTGAGCCCTGCATTGCGCTAGGAATATATTTGGATCAAATTGAGACGGAGCTTACTACACTGGCTCGCCTGGAAGTGGGCAGCGGAAAGGTGAAGCCACTGATCACTGGATTTACAGTGAGCCACGTACTGCTTGACAGTGGCATTCCGTGCCACACACTCCAGCTGCAGACTTGGAAACGAATCGTTGGAATCCATCGCCTCCTTGTCTTCCACCATTGTGAATCCGTGATCATAGAAAAAAACCTTCTGTAGCAACCGAACCGTGCCGAGTAACGAAATTGAACTTGAAGTACGTAGTATACGCCTGGATGTAAGTCCAGCAACATGTCAAGCGTGAAAATATATGATACGCGTAGAGGTATATATATATAAGTCAGGAAAAGTAGGAGCCAAAAGGTTTGAGAAATTGAC